ATTAAAAGAGTAACATTTAAAATTTACCCCAATGAACATTTACAATGAAAACCGGATATTTTCAAAAGCAAGGAAAAAAAATACTAAATGTGATAAATAAAAGAGCCAAAAAAATATTTCACTCACTAGAGAAAACACTCACCCAACCACCTTTTGCCAAATTCCGATGAAGAAAGGTGTTTTCTTGCCGTCTTGATGCTTAAAAAACTAGATCATTTGGAAAAAGAAATACTTCAACTCCGTGGAATGTTTTTTCTGTTGCATAGTCCACATCACGACTCGCATAATGCTGTGTAAGCAGAAGAACACATAGTGTTCATTCTTCTTCGGTGGTTGTGCTACATTGCAATTTAAAAAGAAATACCCTCCAGGAAAAAACAAAAACTTTCCACCCAGCTATGAAGCTTTCAACTCGCTGACACCACGGGCGTATGAGACTACAATGGAAGGCATATCCAATGGGCTTCTCCCACTCACTGCCTTTGCTGGAACGCAAAATTATTAATCCCGCTGTGTAAATTTTTTTTACTGACCCAGACGACGCTCCGTAACATTCGACAGGTGAGTTTATGCCTCGTCGTTATTGAGGTTCCCAAGGCCATAGGGAGCGACACTCTGACCCCATCACTAAGCCTAAATAGAAATTACTTAACCTAAATAAAACAGCCGGTGTCAGTAACCGTAAAAAGACTCAAAGGCGACAACATTCACAATAGAAGGAGCACTCCTCGTTCGAGTGCACACTTCTTAAAAGTTTTCTTGGCGTCTTCCTTCTAGAATTCACCGTTACCATCCTCTTGTATAAACATTCGGTCCAGGAACTTAATACGGAGCATATGTTGATGAATCTCAACGTTCGGCACACTTAGACCGCCTTCAGCTGAGTGGAAATAGATCTTCCGACGCAGAATTGGAGTCGTATCGCTCCATAAGAGGTTGAACAATACTCGAACTAACCAAGTAGTTCAGTGCACGAAAAGTGGAAGAACTGAGAATTTATTAAATATCCAACTACTTCAGCCATGAGAAAAATCTACATTTATTGTGTTTTAGATGCTACGCAATATAAAATGATATGCAAGAATATTATGTAAGAATTTGGGAGAATATATTAAACTAATAAATTAAAATTTTAGGAACTTAAATTATTAGCAAATTTTGTTAAAATCAATTTATTTTCTGAAATTTCATCTGAATTGACTTGAAAATATTCCTCAAGCCCTCGAATTAAACTCGTCCCTGGTATTTCGACCAAAGAAAAACTTGTTTCGGGAACCTTACACTCCTGTTTTACATAAAACTCGATTTGCATATTTACAGATTTTACTCTTGTCAACACTTTTGTGTTATCTTTGTGCCTCCGGCCTTCATCCGGGTAACCTACAGCGAATTCCAAGCTTTATGGGTAGACTGTTCTCATTCTACAGCCCATGTTTAGGAATGTCTAGTTTTTATTTTTATTAATACTGCTCAGTTATTGCTCACCCGGTTTACACTGAGTTCAAGTACTTATTGTCCGAATCAAGGATTGATCCCACAATTATAGTTGATTAAAGCGTTGGTTTGTTAATCAGCATTAGTTTGCAGATTAAATAAAGGGTTCAGTTCGGAATTCCCTGAAGGTTACCCGGATCAACATTCACCTAACGATTTTCATTTCCACAAATGCGAGCGTGGAAGTTTGCGAGTAGCGTAACACTCTGCCATGGACTAGGGGAAGCGCGATCTCAAATGCCCCTGATATCGTGACTCGGCGGAAGAATAACATGGGGACGATATGGAGGAACATGAGAGCCTCCACTCGACAGAAGTGACCCGCTCGAAGCTGTCTTGTCTCTGTGTGGCGCGTTAGCACAGACGCAAAAGAGGCCCCGGATTGCGTGCGAGTGTCTGTCAACACCAGTTACATAAGGAAAACCCTTATGTAACCCTCGTTAGCAGTGGGACAGCTTGATATATCTAGATACTGACCTATCTGCAACTGGTCAAGATCCGGGTCTTTGTAAGATGCCTTATGCCAATAAAAACAACGGGAAACCAGCACTCAGCAATACATAGGGTGTCTTATGAAGTCGTTCCCGTAGAAATTTTGATTCTAACGTTGCTGGGAGAGCAATCGGTTACATTACAACATTTGTTAAAACGTTGATTTTTATAATATTCATTGTTTTGCTAATATGTCCGTGTCAACTATTTTCTTTCGCATAAATTATAATTCTGTATTAGTTTTCTGAAATCATTTTTGTGTTTTGTATAATTCGCTGCAGTTTAAGTATCGAGAAGTTATATAGCATCAGAATTGTTTTCTGGAGTTTACAAAATTTCCTTGATTTGCTGTCAGTACTTAATCTCTTTACAGCAAACTTCTACTTTTCACTTAAAAACTATCAGTAATATTCTTTAAAAATTATTTGTACTGTATAACTGTAATACAATAGCATAATTAAAAACCTTCCGAAGTCTGATCATTATCGAAAAATGAAAAACTATTCAAAGAGAAAAACTATTTTAAGTAGATCTGCTCCTCGCTTTAATCTTATTAAATTAAAAAATCTTTTCGATGTTAAAAAGATATTTGAGTAAATAATCGAAAAAATTAATCAGTTGTAACTTTAACCGGAATTTCCTGAATGTGAAAAATGTCAGAAAAAATTACATTTGTTTAGCAGCACTATGGGATATTTTATGCCAAAACCAAATATTTTGTTCGAGATGCACAAGTTTAGATTTAATGATCAGCAGTGAGGATTTTCTGGAGTTGGATTGATCATAGGGCATATCGGTTTGTAGATAAGCTAAGTTCGTGTACTTAAAATAAAAAACTATACAAGATCTTATAGACTGGTGTTATTGAAACGTCTGGTAATGATTTGATCGGATCTCACTAATGTTTTGTGGTGTATCTCTTGACACACATTAACTGCCGTGGTGGTCGGGTATTGTTTTTTTAAAAGAAGGAATGAATGTGTATTCACGGAATTTCCTATACAGTCTCTCTAGAACTACTTCCTTCCATAGCGTCTATGTCTTTCAGAAATGGTTTGCTAGATTTTACTTCTGCTACTTTCTGTTGATGAATTTGCGAATGATTGGTTTCAAATTAAAGTGTGGCATTTTCATTCTTCATGTATTGATTCGCATGACCTTTATCCACTTTTTCATTTTCGTGGATGCTGATATGGATTAATGGGTTTTTAAATTGGTTAATAGGATTGTTTGGTGGCATTTTGTGATAGTCTGGTATAATATTGGAGCGATAGCTTTTTCTACCCGAGATGTAAAAAACGTGATTCCATTGGTTTTACTAAGTAGAACTTTGTGTTGGAGATGCGCAGAAAGCCCGCAGATATATTCTAAGTACCTGGTTCTAGACATGCAGAGCTGTAGACAGTACAATAATAGTTCCATTTTGACAGCACATGGACTCCAATCTCTAAATACCGCCAGCTACAGATGATCTCTTTTGGGACAAAACTTCAACGTGAAAGAAAATACATCTAATGACCGCTCTCTAATTCTCATTCGTATATAGCTTTTAAGTTTATCGTATAAATTACTAATTTCTTAATAAAAAATGAAGCGTAAATGTCAAGACCTACCTGTCAAACTGTAAAGCTTATTTGTTATGCTACATCATGTGTTTATATCGAGGAGAGAATGCGGAAAACTCATTTCACATTTACAGGAACTAAGGATGTAATGAAAAATCATGTCGACGAATTGCAATTTTATCCTTCTATTCCTTCACTGATGCATTAAAAGTATGTTTAGATCCTGTACAAGTTCGTTATAAATAGATGCGCGTAACAATTTAACCCTATCGATATGCAGTTTCAAGTATATGAGGCGAAAGAGAATGGGAATTTGAAAATTCTATTAACATGAACTACTTTTTCCTAACCGCTTGTCATATTTGATTGAATATATGAACACAAATGCCTGAAGGTACACACAGAATAGTATTTTTTTTTAAATTGACCTTAGTGAATTCCATTCGTTTAAGAAGCAAAATCAAATATAAAGAGCAAAAATATGCCAACATGAAAGAAAAAAGGCGTTAGCCACCAAAAACTATAGAAATAAATAGTAGGTTCTCAAAGGCGACAATCAATATTGGAAAAAATTACAAAAGTTAAGTAAGAACAGAAAAGAAAACACTACGCCTTTGATGCAAACAAAATGGTTGAATGATAAACAAATTCTACGAAGTGGGAATCCGGCGCTGTTCCATTTCCTCGCGCGCGTATATATATATATATAATATATATATATATATATATATAATCAGTTTTTACATTGTCTTACAAAGCTTGATCACATTTTACAAATTTAATCCTATTTTTAAGGGAATCTGTTCAACTTACTTAAATTAAAATATTCGAATATCTTATGATTTTTTTCTGAATCACTTCTCCAAAATTACAATTTTTTGAAGAAGTATTAATGGTATTTCGGTCATATAGGCTTACTTAAAATATTCAGATGAAAATTTTGCTTATTTTCTTTCATCTTCAATGCTGAGTATAACTGAAATACACTAATTTCTTGAAATGTACGCTGCTAGAACAGTTGCCAGAATAATTGTTTCTTTTATTGAAATTAGATAAAAATAAATACACCATCTTATGACAAAAACCGGACAGAGTTGTAGGTTTCCAAAATATTTGCAAATATTTTGTATACAGGTTGTGTGTCTTTTTTTAGTTTTTTTTGGGTTTTGTTTTTTTTTTTTTTAGCGGTATATTGACCTCCATGGGTTATTTAATGCTGAAATTTAAATATTTTGTACGCATTTCTTTAAAATTAATAATAGTTAATATAGTGATACAATAATAGTTAATATAGTGATACAAGTCTTACTAATTAATCCATAGCTGGGGGAGAAGAAGTGGGTTCATAGCTTTCCCAATGGTATTTGCGCGTAAGTGAATATAACGAACCCATCTAGAATTGGAACTCGGCTCTCCAATTATTAACAACTCCGAGCCAGACATCCATGCTTACTGCACTTGGTATTCCCAAGCGGTCACCCATCCAGGTACTGACCCTTCTCGACGTTACTTAACTTCGGTAATCATACGGGAACCGGTGTTTCAACATGATGTGGCCGTGAGCCCTTTATTCACAGTCATATAAATAGGCAAATATTGATGCCAAAGTTTTCAGCGTTTTCATAAAATCTTTTACTCATTTTGTAATCAAAATAATCAATAGCGGTGTCTCCAGAAAGCCCTCATCAGATGATGACCCTGAGTTCGGATATGATTTCATGCCCACAGAATCATCACTAACTCAGGGTATTTCAACAGTACCTCACAACTCCAACGGGCTTTGTTGGTTGCCCGTAGTACTGAAAGAGTACTAGATGGAAGTAGATGCAATCTCTGCTTCAACCTACAAGCTGAAGTGAAAATGACACCCTTGCATCTCACTACAAAAGGAGAAGTAGCATTAGTCGTAAATATTTCTGTCTACTCCCCACGACATAGTAAAAAAAAGATCTATTCACTATTAAGCTGAGAAAAACCAATGACCAGGCAAAGAGAAATAGATTTGAAGGAAAAACTGAAAGAAAAAGAAAATGAAACAGTCGGTGAATAACAAAGCAGTACAGCAACTGGACTCGGTTTCTCCATGTTCGTCAACTAAATTTTCTGTGTTCAACCACTGACCAATTGTTAAATCTGCAGCTGCTATGTCCCGATTTCGCGCGTTAATTGAGATTATATAATCCTGGTCTCCCATTAGTGAGTTTGATTCTCACTAGCTGCCCCATGCACTTAATGGTTTAATATTATATTAAGCCACTTAATCATTATTCCACACATATATTTGTTATTCACGGTCATTTACTTGATTGTAAAATGACTTACACCTAATGCAGCTGTAAGTCATTCGTTTCTCTTTGTACCACTTATTTGTAATTATAACAATGAAAAACAAAAGGAAAAATATGAATTTTTTATGCACTAAACACGCTTAATTCAAAAATCCCATTTACTAATTTTTTTCATTTTTTACATAGCCGTATCGAGTCGTGTTTTGTTACTCCCGACAATGATGATTTCACAAATTCTGATTGTCGTCAAGGTTGAAATCATCAGTTAGATTGTAAAAACATAGAAAATGTTATGAACCATTAATAGGAGTATTATCAAAGAGAATCAGGAAAATAAGATTTATGTTTGTTGCGAAATTTCCAGGTAGAAGATAGAAGTTTGTAGTGTTCTTACACTTTACTTCCTATAATTACGGCAGTTGAAAAAGTGTTTAGCTTTCATAGAGTCGGTAAAACCAAGTCTTTCAATTATCCCGTGAAAAGTGGTAGGGGAAACAAGTGATTTTAACGGTTCCAATAGATTTGTGTGTCTGAAACAGAACATGTGTAACGCCCGTAAATATTGCGAAGAGTTGCCATCAGAGTTTCTGAGGAAGTCGTAAAATGTAAAAACAGCCTTTGTGCCTCTATTTTTCAAATCGTTAAAACTATTTTATATTCTCCTCACCAACCTTGTCGCCAATCTCATATTTTTCTCGTTTTTATGGCGTTTGAATTGCTCTTTACCCTTAGCCTCTTAAGGAACCTGTGCAGTGTCGTGCTTGACACAATATTATTTTGTTACAAATGTGCAATATAAAACAAATCATTTTTTTTTGTTTTAAAGTGCAACGTTTCCTTCCTCTAATCAAATTCAACGTATTCAATTACTCTTGAAAATATTTACCACCGAGCTAACAAGACATACAAGATTTAGCTGATACATTTGCAGAATTTTTCAAAAGTTAGTTTGAACATGTTTATTATAATAAACTTAAAATCATCCTTGATGTCATAAAAAAATTTGAACCCTCCAAATTCTATTCGCTTCAGCAAAATTTTTTTTTAACTTTGGGACCTTTTGCTTCCTCTTATTATGAATGTGGCTGTTATGCTACACATTTTTCCAAATGGATTGCTTACATTTAAGTACATTATAAGGTACTTACATTTGCATAAATGATTGGTTCAAAATCTTTTTTTTTTTTTTTCGGAAAATTTCTGAAATGCATACCGTTATCATTAATTCATTGCTCGTTCCATTTACGAAAGTAGAGGATTACTTCGAAGTTCACCCATCTTCACCTGGGATAAAACTGTTTAATGACAGTAATCAGCTTGTACAGAATAAGAACTTAGAAACATGGTCAACGTCATGTCGATCATGTTGTTTTTAAGTTCTTATTCACTAATTCTTGTTCACTAATTATGTGTATCTGAATGACCTTTAATACTTACTACTTCCTTAATTAAAATATTTGAATCAGAATCAAATTTCAAGTTAATCGATATAATTTGCAAATTAAGAGAAACCGAGTCAGTAGTGCATCTGCCAAACTTAAATTGTTAATTTTTCCTTATTTGATTTTTTTATGATATCGGATTTGCTCAATATCAGAGATAGAGCTTATGTAAATATAAATATAAAAGTGAACATTGAAGTCAGGACGATTGCACCTAGCATGAAACAGCCTGTCGCCTCTGAGTGTTGACTTCAATGTTCACTTATATATATATATATATATTTATAATTCTCAAAGTGTGTGTGTGTATAGGTATGTGTGTGTGTGATCGGATGTTGTTCATGCGTTTCCGCAGTTTTCATCCGATTTCGATTAATTTTTTTTGGTTTCATAGATAAGTCCTCAGTCCCAGTTTTGAGTCAAAATTGGCTGGAAAAAAATTACAACCTTCAAGGTGAAAAATTGAAAAAACTGATTTTTTTACACTGCGCAAAAATCAAAGGCAAAATTTAATTTACTTTTTCACACATAACCTTCCAATCCGAGATCATGCTGTGTGGGCGTGATTCACGCCTCCACACGTTGTCCATCGGTTGCTGCTGACCTTGATAATTAGCGCATGCAGCAACGCGTGTACGTGTGGCCCTGCAACACGCGCTGTGTCACGGAATGTCTAATGCGCTGATGCCCGTGCATACGCATGACCTGCGGAACGCGACACCTGTTCGAGTTGCCTACTGGCTGCACGAAGCCTCTTTACACGTCCAATCAAATGTCGCCGTGTCATACTGATTGTCTACGCAATCGTGAACTCATTGCTGCCGCTTAATTCTGCAATTCCGCTTCTACTTCTGTACGTCTAGTCCTGCTTACACATTTCCCTACTCTTGGCCAAGCTATCAATCTGTCTCAAGTGAGGTTAGCTTTTCCGTTGCATAAAGTCTACCACTACAGTTTTAAGGTGTTGTTTTCATTGTCGTTTATAGCCGTTCCCAATTTAAATATTTTAATGTCCTGCCAGTTTTTGCATTGCATTCGCCGTTATAATAAGCTTGCTTTTTTATTACTCAACATTAATTTTTCCAATCTTTCCTAAAGTTTTTCGCTGTCGCTTTACAGCGTTCTCTTCTGGTATTTGCCCACACATTCCATTTGACAATTCATACTTGCCTAAGACATGCCACCAAAGAAAAGAACATGCCTAGGTCGCAAAACCGCTGCCTTTGGGTTCACCATGTGAATAAGAGATAACGAATGGTCTTTAGAACGTTCAATCCGCCCGTCTCAAAATGCCTCTTGTACTGCTTGAATCAGAGCCACTGAGTCGACTTTCCAGAAGAGCATAACTGAACGCTTTCGCGCGCCAGGCTGAAAATGATGATCAATGGACTCAACAACTGTGGAGAAACGCTTCTTCAGCTGATGCAGCGCGTGAGGCTGAAACAAGATTGGGAACGCAAAAACGGCCCTTTTCAGGACCATCCCAAATTCAAATTGTTAACACCCACCCTGCATTTGTGTATGTACCTCAGTTGCACCTAATTGTTGTTACTAATATTGATTTTCGGGTGGGATGACTTTAAACTGCTCTAATTGAACGGCCAAAATTCCCAGTAATAAAAAGATCTGGTCGAAGACGGGTTATAGGGACATTATATATATATATATATATATATATATATATATATATATATATATATATATATATATATATATGTGTGTGTGTGTGTCATTAGCTCTCTGTGTCTATATCTCTCTCTGTCTAACTCTAGCACTCTGTCTATATCTCTAGCTCTATATTTCTGTCTATCTCTCTATCGCTAGCTCTCACTCTCTGTCTATCTCTTCGAAACCCATAATTTAAGAATTAATAAATAGGAAAAACTTTCAAATACATCTTCACATTGCAATTGTGACATTATACGCGGGCGGCCTGTCTCCCCTTTATATTTCTTTCCGCAGCTGCACGGGATAGCGTACACACAATCTTTAGTCATTTTCTCCTGTATGGGGGGGTCTTACTCGGGAGAGATATCTACGAAGTGTCGTCCAGCTTTTGAAGGTAGTCCTGATGTCATATGGACCACAGATTATTTGTATTTTCTCTGATAGCCCTTTCACATAAGGCAAGCAGATTGTTTTCTGAGTGTTGTTGTCCTCCTCTTGTACCTGCCTATCCCAGTTTTTTGGTCGCCCCCTTAAGGTAAGGCTTCAAGAACACCAGAAAGCTGTTACACGAGGGGAGGTGGAAAAATTAGGCGTGGCTGACCACGTATGGAAAGAAAAGGGAGATCACCGCCCTCTGTGGCTGAGATCATAGACAAATAATACCACTGGAAAATTCGTAAACTTAAGGAATCAGTACATATGCTAGGCCACAAAAATCTCATGAGCCGAACAAGCATAGAAATGAATACAATATGGGAACCAGTAATAAGGAGTGCTAGAGAAAAGCGATATTAACAATAAAAATTGGTAAAAACATGAAATGATAACAGCAAAAATTGCAATATGAGCACTGGTAAAAAAATGGTTGCTGAAGACATTAGGTTTATAATACCCAGAAATTCATACACTGATGTCCTCAAGGACACATGGCACAGTGGATAAAGGCACTAGTTGGATCCGGTGACAGGACCCAAAGACTGTAAGTTCAATAGTGGAGAACTTGGAGAGGGAAATTAACAGGAGATAACTGATAACTGACATCCATAAAACATGGCAGGTGGAACTATAACAGTCTACCCCAGTGAGCGAAATAAAGGGTTCAGTTCGACATTCCAACCACCTGAAGAAGGCTGGAGCGTACAACGGCCGAAACGTTGTAATA